GGCTATATTAACCACCACAACAGAGAGACCTCAAACAAGAACGATGGGAACACATTGTAAGAATGGATCACTTTCATCAGCAATGATTCCAGAAGACCTGCTGAGTGAAATAAGCTGGGCACAGGAAAGGAAACACCGTGTGATCTAACTTGTATGTAGAATGTAAGCAAGGCAAACTCAGAGGGAGAGTTTAAGATGTGGACTTCCTGGCTGAAGGGTGCCAAGTTTCACTTAGGCAGGAGGCCTGATGTCTGGAAAACAACTTAGTAACTACAGTGATAATCCTGATTGGGTGCTTGACAGCGACCGAGTTCATCTTAAAATGTTCTCACCACTAAAAAGAATGCAATCATGACCACATAGGGAGATGGATATGCTAATTAGCTAGTCTGCTCATCTTTTCATGTCTATTTGCATATTAAAATATCACATTTTGGGTCTTAAACATATATAATTTTTGCCACGGAGAACAAATGGGGATAAAAACTAACAACACAATCCAACCTCTCTAATAACAGCACATTAGGCTCAGCTTTATATTTTTCTCCGAGTGTGTGTGAATTTTACTCCATAAACAAAAACTTTTGATATTCAATAAGTCCAAACTCATGGTGGGCCCTCCTGTGCTGGTCCCCAAGTGTGGGTAGGCTCTTTGGCCATGCTTTTCTTACACTTGGGTGTGTTCCATACTCCGATGCCCTGGGGCCACCTGAGAGTAACTCTGAGGTATTCATGGAGCCTGACCCCCAATTCTCCTTGGCCATGCTCTAGTGCCCTGCAAGGTGACTGTTCCTCAGCACTGGCCAAACCAGTCCCTGCATCTGAAAGCTGCCTCTTTCCCACTAAGTGCTAAATGCAAATGAGACAGGTGCTCCTGTGACACCTGTAACATGGATCAAGATGATTCTGAACCTGTCTGTCTGCTGCCATTGAAGTCTCAACCCACTGTGTGTGGAAAGAGTGGCCTCGCTCGACCTCTTCACAAGACCTCATTGGGTCTTGTGCTGGACAACATCTAGAGTTGGCTGCTCCATGGGGGAGCTGGGAACCATGTCTCTTCACAGTAGCAGATGACTCTCTCTAGAAAGACAAGCTACTTTCAAATTTACTGGTGTAATACTTGAGTGATGTGTCTTTTCACTTCAACCCCAGGATAAAGTCTCTGGGGTGGGGGGAGCACATTGCAGAGACACATTGGAGATGCTACACGCTGTATGTGTTCCTCAGAGAAATCCCACCAAACAAGAACACAGGTGGCTTCCTAGGTGGCTTCTACATCTCTGATCTTCCCAGCAAGCTTGCAGGGAAAAATAGACTTCCTCAAGGCTTACAATGCAGTGGAATGGAGGTGGTGAGGGCAGGCTTGATGGTGGGGTCCTCTGCACCCTCGATCTCAGAGAATAGGGCAGTGCAGCTAAAAATCTGTCCTCACGTCTGTCTGGTTGTCTGAGCTTTTCCTTTCATTTTCATCCCGAAATGATTGCTGTGTGTGCTGAGGTTTTATGATGAAAATATAATGAGAACCTTTATGAGGTTGGAATGAGAGCCAGGAAAGAGCATTGCTGGTTTTTGTTCCCCCTGGGAGAGGGAGACCCTGCAGGCAGGAAATGAATCTGGCACCTTTGAGACCTTTAAGTCTTTGGATCTTAGTTTTACAGCCCTTTCTGGGTATGCCTTGTCTCATAATCACAGAGAATGGGTAGACACCCTTCTAAAGGTCCCACTGAGTAATTGCTTAGAATGAAAGGCTTGTCATCTTGTAAGTGGTACCAGGGGAGGAAGGAGAAGGTCAGGGTGAGGCCAAAGGGGGGAATCTCAGTTTCTCTAGGAGCCATCAAAAGAAAACCAGGTAAGTGTCAGATTTGTGCACTGTGTGTAGCCCAAACAACTAGGTAAAATTAAATCACTATTTGGGATCTGTGATACTGACAATTAACCTGTCTGGTACCCTCCCCATCCCCCCACCCCCTGAGTTATTTTTCTTCTTCGACCTCTGTAAACGTGTGTACAGTCTCACACGCACACTCTCCACCTACAATGTGCCTAGATACACCTGCACTTGCATACTTTGATTTATTTCCTCTCATCTTAGCTGGGGTTTCTTTTTTATTTTTGGGGGGGGTTCCAAGACAGGGTTTCTCTGTATTGTTTTGGAGGCTGTCCTGGAAATCCCTCTGTAGACCAGGCTGGCCTCGAACTCAGAGATCCGCCTGCCTCTGCCTCCCAAGTGCTGGGATTAAAGGCATGTGCCACTAACGCCCAGCCTTAGTTGGGGTTTCTGTTGCTGTGATAACCTCCACGACTGAAGACAACTTGGAGAAGAAAGGATGTATTTCATCTGACACTGAGGTCCCATTCTATTACCGAAGGAAGTCAGGACAGGACCTCAAAGTGAGAACCTGGAGGCGGGAGCTGAAGCAGAAGCAGTGAAGGAAGGAGGTTTGCTCAGCTTGTTGTCCTGTACACCTCAGGACCACAGTGGGCTGGACCCGTCCACCTCAATCATGAGCCAAGAAAATGTCCTGCAGGCCTGCCTATAGGCCAATCTGATGGAGGCAATTTCTCAACTGAGGTTTGTCTTCCCAGCTAACTCTAGCTAGTGTTAAATCTACAAGAAAATAACCAAGATGCCCCTCTTCTTTATTGTTCCCAAATATCCCCTTCCCTTCATGTATCCCCCATTCTTTTGTTTGTTTGGAACATCCCACTGACATCTGTGCCCTTCCTTTATCAACAGAGAAACTGCCAGCCTGAGATGGCTTTGGCTGTGTTTTGGTTACTGAGTTCTTATCATATTTCATAGCTGTTACACAGTCACAGAACAATGTCCCTGAGCTCAGATTTCCTCAGTTTCTCCTGATGGTTTTTTTTTTTTTGACTTGTCTCCATGCGATCCACAAGAAAGAGCAGTTTCTTCTAAAGAATGAGAAAAATGTTACTGTCCTCCCAGGACTGATACACAAACTTAGGAACAACAAATAATCCTTTTGTTTATCTTGGTGTTCCTTTCCTGATATTTTTCCTAAATCATACAAGTAGCCTGAAACAAAATTTAGGAGTCATTAAAATAATGGAAAAAATATGAAAGCATCTATATTTTTTCACAGTCCTCATTGATACCCCCAAGGTCACTTAGAAAACCTCATTCTTCTTGACTTATTTGGCTTGGACATCTATCAAAGGGGTTACCACCCAAGTAGGCCATTACAGTCTTTATCTGGGTGGCCAAAAAGGGACAAAAGCATACCTATACAGTAATGAGGTCCCCACTATCAACTGTCTAGAAGGCATTGCCTATTGTCACAGGGTCAACGGGCTTCTGCTTCTCTACGTATTTGTACCTTCTCCAGGCAATGCTGTGACCAAGTCATGTTGTGAATGGCAGCTGTAGCAACAAGGCCTCAGAAGGAAGTCATCTCTACTGAGAGGATAGTTCCTTCCCACTCTGGAAGTCATAGCACCCCTTTGCCTCTCCTGCTCCCCATAAGAATCTCACAAACTGAAGCCAACTGACATTCTCTGCTCAATGGAGAATGAGAAAAATTTATTTTCCCTGATGAGGCAATAAATACCTTTACCACTTCTAGCCTATTGAGCACATAGGTCAAATCTACAGGTGTCCTAAGCATCCAAGAAACAGTCCAGCCCCCAGCCACTACAGTTGTTGGAAGACAGATCAGAGCTGCTACCAGGGTTCCTGCACTTTGCTAAAGTCCTGAAATGTCCTTCTCAGCTGGGAACACTGGTTTTTAATTAATGTAATAGAGTGTCATAATTTCTTGAATATTCTTATTTAATTACATAAACATGTACATGTTCTCCATACATTATTGGCATTTAGAATATACATTAGTCCCTGAGAATCCACAGTGTACAGCACTAGCAAAACTGGAGATGACTAGAACTGAAGTGGTCAGGTATGGATAGGAAGCCATGGGTGAAGAGAAGTCAAAGTTCAGGGCACAAAAGAGAGGGAGAGGAAGTGAAGGGGGAGGAAGTCTTTCCAGCTACTTTTTCATACTTGACTTTTGAATCATGTGATTGGACTTTCAAAAAGTTTTAAGTGAAACTCTCAGTTAATATTTTCTCTCTCTCTCTCTCTCTCTCTCTCTCTCTCTCTCTCTCTCTCTCTCTCGCTCTCTCGCTCTCTCTCTCTGAGTCATTGAGTATAGATATGTAAACTGGTATGTTTTTCAGAAAGTTCAGAACAATATTACCAGTGACCCCTCTAAATCTGAAAGCAGATATTTCCTTTGGTTGGGGGTTCATATGCTCTAATTCACAAACAAAGAAATTAAGTAATAATAACAGAATTAGGATTCATGGGAAGTGTTAGAGATCAGTTCTCCTGCTCATTTCCCTTTCACATAAGAAAGTTCAGGTTCAGACATTATTGAGCTTTCCCAAGTCACCCTATTCAAGGCAGAACCATCCTGGATGGAACACTCTGTGCTAGGCCCAAGATCACTACTGTGCTTGTTCCTTACTTCTCTGGCAGCATTGCAAATGGATGGACTCTAAGGCTAGCCTCAGATGCCTGCAGCTCTAAATCAGAGACCCTCTAGGGACAGCAGAGGTAGGGAACTGAATTTGTCTAACCCACAAGATGTAAAGAGACTTTTGTTAAAAGTGAATCTTAATATAGTATGTTAGAAAGGGACCATCTGTTCCCAATCTTTAGAGGAGAGGGAATGAGAATTTATGCTACATTATGAGGCATGAGATAAAAAGAGGAAATTCCTAATTTGTCTGGTTATAGACCAATATACCATCAAAGCAGACAACTGCGGCTGTCTCTGGGCATGGAAAGAGAGATTGCCGTTCTTCTTCAGTAAGTCATCCCAAACCATGTTTTAGTGAACAGATCCCTGTCATCTGGGAAGATCCTCAACTAAGGTGCCAGTATCTCTGATTCCTGTATATGCTGCCTCCGTGAGCTGCGCTGATATTTTCTATTCCTTGGAGGACAGTGGGGCACCTGTGGTTAGAAAAGCCCTTACCTCGTCGTGTCCCCAGGTGACTGGAACGGAAAGCATAGCCCAGCGCAGGTGTTGAGCAAGGCAGGGTCTATAACAACAATGCTTGCCTCTGTCCTCATTCTGTGCTGTCACCTTGGAAACATGAAACACACGGAACGTAAGCATCCGCCTCACAAGCAGAGCACAGTGCAGTGGTTGGCAGATTGTTAGCCCTCAAGAAACGTGCCCCGTGGCTGATCAAAATGTGTCAGTCTCCCTTGTGGCAAGCACACACTGATGCAGGTGTTGACAGCCTCTCTGGTCATAGGGTAAAGCCCTGTTAACTGACAGGTATGGAACACTAGACCAGGCCTTCCAGGGCCTCCCACACACCTTCCTCCATGCTCTTCCTCTTCCACTTAGAAGCAAGGCCCTTGAAAACCCAGGACATAAAACGATGGTACCGTAAGAGAGAAAGAACTGAGACCTGTTACTCAGAGAGGCGCCTCACTGACAGGTAATACTCCAGGGTGTCCACATTGCAGCCAAGTAAGCTGCGCTCTGAGCCCTCAGTTCTGCCTGCCCTCAGAACTTAAGACAGAGACAGCAGGGACAATGCCTGGGTGTTGTCCTCTTTAGAGGAGCATAAACTGATGTTTCTTCCTATGCTCTAGGGTGGACACTGAAGCCACTGCCATTTTCCATATGATACCAGCCTTTGTGAAGTAGCATGAGATATCCCATGCAGGCCAGAAAGGTTCTCCTATGAGTAAATGCTGAATAAATTAGTCACCTTCAGACTATGGCCCTTATGGACACCGAAGGCTGTGATTACCTTATGAATAATCTACCTGTTTACTTATGAATAATCTACCTGTTTACTATATATTAGCTATGTATTAAAATTGAGCCAGATATTTCTTTTCCTATGCATCATTTCTTATAAAAAACTTTTTGTCCAAGAGTGTTATTTAATTAGCATAATTCTCTCTCTCTGTCTCTCTCTCTGTCTTTCCCTGTCTTCTTCTGTCTCTCTCCCCCTCCTTCCCTCCCTCCTTCCCCACCCCACCTTCCACTCTGTGTGTGTGTGTGTGTGTGTGTGTGTGTGCATGCTCACTGATATGAGATTGGAATATTAATCTGAAATGATCCCTTTCTTAGTGGTCAAATTTCTGGTCATTTGCCTTCCTACTACCTTTCAAGTAGTGGGTGTAGATGGGAGAGTAAATTGTTTTGGACTTGGTTGTCTCTGCCTCATGACCTCACAGGCATATGGTGGCCTCGTGGGAAACCCACACTTAGTCACTCTCTTTGATGCCCAAGCAGTTCGCAAATCATGAGCCTTTTTCAGTTTGGGCTTTAAGGCAGCTTCGCTTAATGTTCAACATATGAATCACGTGCTGAGTAGTCATGATGGTTGGGCAATCCCTGGACTAATCCTTTGAGGCTCCCCTATTTCATGAAGACTTTATTTCCTGAAGAAAGTGAAATTTAAGTCTCTGTAGCTCATAATTTTTAAGACAAATTTAAAGACATCCTTTCCTCAACACCTTCTCTTAATGACGAATAAGTAAATAATTGTATTGAAATGGATGCTAAGTGGATGGATTGAAAGAAGGTACCAATATGGATGTATAGGTGGATATTAGATGGGTGGTCCATGGGTGGGTAGGTGGTGAATAAATGAATGGGGGAATGTATAGATGAGTTGATAGATAAATGCATTGTGGGTAGATGGATAGAAAAATGCTATGTGAAGAGATAGATAAATGGTTGGCACATGGAAGGATGGAGAGATGGATGGAATCTAAATGAATGGTTGCTGGAAGATGAATGACTACATAGTTGAATTCTGGTCTCTTTTAGCTTTTATATCTATACATCCAAAAAATTTAGGATCCTTATGAGCCTTGTCTTAGTTAATTTGCTATTACTGCGAAGAGCCACCATGACCAAAGCAACTTATGAAAGAAAGATTTTATTGTGGGTGTGTTTATAGTTTCTGAGGGTTAGTCCATGACCATCATGTAGGAAATATGGCAGCAAGCAGGCAGGCGTGGTGCTGGAGCAGTATCTGAGCACTTGCACAATGAGACAATAACCACAAAGCAGAAAGAGACCAAGGACTAACTGGGGACAGAGTGGGTTTTTGAAACCTCAAAGCTAACTGGGGACAGAGTGGGTTTTTGAAACCTTGATGCCCACCCCCAATGACACACCTCCTCCAACAAGACCATACTTCCTAATCCTTCCAAAATAGTCCCACCAGCGAGCAACAAAGCATTTAAATATATTAGCCTATGGGAGATATTCTTAGTCATACCACCTCAGGCCTCGAGCAGTTATGTCTCAGAAGTTCAGAATTTAGAAAAGTGGCCTTCCAAATAGTCAACTGTGCTCCTCTACCAGCATTCCAAGATCCATATTGAGAAAGTGTGACTATCTAGGCAAGAGCTAAAACCACTTAGATCGTTTCTCATAAACATGGAACTATTAGGATAAAAATTTAAACTATGGGAGACCTGTAATATTTGTCTTCTCCATTTAGAAAAACCAAAATTTTTACTTTGAAATCTGGGTTTCATGACCATGTTGACTTTGAGCTGATGTTTTTACAGAAAGTAGAATTTTTCTTTATTACTTTCCTTCTTTCATATCATAGGCATTTTTTCTGGCCTTTCTATCATATAAACACTGTCTGCTTAACACCATTTGTGACTGCTCTGTGATTGGCTTGGGGAGCATGTGCCTGCAGCAGCTGAGGTTAGAATGACATTTGCTCATGCAGGCAGCAAGCCCAGCCAGTTGGCAAGGGCCCCTCAGCAATAAAATATTAATATTAAAGAAACAGCCTTTTTATCATCTGAGGTATTTGTAGCAGATTCTCTGAGTAATAATCCTCACTCTCTTATTCATTCATGTTGTGAGGAATGCATTGGATTCCATCTTCGCACAGCCCTGTGGGGAGACACCATAGTGGCTTCCCTCCAGCAAGCTTTGGCAGGCTCCAGCTATACACTGCTACTTGATTAAGGAGTTGGCGTGGAAGCTAAGGTAAGCCTTTTTATGGTTTTATCCAAAATGGGATTCCTAATGAATGACATACTCCCCAAAGAATGTTTCCAGAGTGGCTGTTAAAGCATTTTGGGGGGTAGAGATTTCACATTCTGCTTACTCCATAGATTTACAGAGTACTAAGTACTCCAGGGCTTCCTGACCCTAGACTTTGGCTTCCTAGGTGGGGGGTGGTGAGGAGCATGGTGGCTCTCTGACAGATAGGGAAAAGGGTTGTGGTAGTTGAAGCACATAGACACAGACTAGAGAATAAGAAACAGGAGGAGGAGAAATTCTGTTATCTGCTATGCCTTTTTTCTCCTTCATCATCCCATTCAGATTTTTAGAATCTTCTAGAATGATGAGAGGAAGACTATCAGGAAACTGATCCAAACAGCTCTGGTATGGCTCTAAGAAAAACCAAAGACCCTTTAGGGAAGTGGAGAGATTATAGTGATGGGAGATATACTGGATCTGACTGGCAATATATGGTCATTTTAATGATTTGGCCATTCCAAATGGCTATTGTCATTCAACGGATTGAGTCGGGCTCACTCCTCACAGGATTCCTTCTTCAGGGGAGGAAACCAGCATAGCTTTCCTGGGAAGTCACTTCTGGCAGAGCCAGAAATATGGGCTTCCATTCTGATTTGAAAGTCAAATCAAGTGCTGCAATTTTTGTTTCAAATCTACCTTCCTACACATTGTCCAAAATATCAGTCCAGTTCAACAACATCCCAGCTTCCAACCACGGGACATGAGTGATATAAGAAGCCATATTTGGGGTTAAGAATTAGTTCTCCTTCTGCAAGTGAAGCTTGGATGGGGACATCTGGGCAGAGTTTACCTAGAACAGCAGAGTGTATGAAGATATTCCAGAGGAGCTATAAAGAATACAATAAATGCTAACGTAAATGAGTAAGTTTTATGTGTCTCCAACGAGATGACTAAGGCTAAGTAGCTTGAAAAGAGGAAGCATTGTTCACTTAGCTCACAGGTTTGGAGCCTCAATAGTGTGGTGCTGGAAAGGGTCCTTCTAGCTGTCCTCACATGGTAGGGGAGGTGTGCACATCTGGAGGACCTTTTTTGTAACGGCTGCTGTTGCCTGTCAACTTGACTGGATTGAGAGATGCTTAACAGATTAGTAAAGCATCCCTGTACCCGATAGGGCGTTCGTGGAGATGATTACACCATGAGGGTTCTAGTTTAATCAATTGCTCAGTCCACTGATAGATTCACAATCCGAATAGACAATTGGTAGGAGATGGGACTATGAGAGTGAGGCCTGTTTGAAGAACCCCTGGGATGTGGTCTTAGGAACTAGACCTTGTGTTAGGACCCCTGTTGGGGCCCATAGAAGTAGCTCTGTTCCATCTTGACTTAAGGTCAGAGAGTTTAAGCCCATTATTGCTCCTTCAAGGTTAAATCCAAAGTATGTTTGGCCTAAGGTGTGGCTATTGTATATCTTGATTTGACAACAGGATATTTAACCTAAAGTGTAGCTTATGGATGCCTTACCTTGACAACAGGATATTTGGTTTAGGTTGTGGTTACTTGATGTTTTGGGTATTGAGAAGGTAATTATGCTTGCTTGTTCTTTGTGTCTTGGTAAGGAAGTCTTTTGCCTCCCCCCTTTTTGATTGGGGTACATAAGAACTCTGAGTAATAAATGGGGCTGATCCCAATATTCGCTGGACACCCTCCTGACTCTCTCTGTCTCTTTGTCTCATTCTTTCCTCAATCCACACTCTGTCTGTTATGATAGAGCTCAAGGGGAACCATGGCAGGTGAGGGTGACCAAGGTGGGGAACAAACATGCCAGGCAGACAGAGCTTAGCGAGAAGTTTTATTAGAAAGGGGAGGGAAGGGGAAGGGGAAGGAAAGAGAAGAGAGGTACAGAGAAATAGAGACAGAGAGAGCACAGAAGAGAAGAGGGAGACAGGGTCTTCTTTTAAAGGGGTCATTTGCACCTGGGCTGACCAGGGTGCTGCCTGAGTACATTCTGCTGGGTGACAGGGGTAGGCCAGCATAATGTCTGAATCCTTACACCTTCCAAGCACAGACAGGAACTAGCAGGCAGGCCTGGA